AGTTACAATCTTAGAAATCATCACAACCTAGCTTGAGCCCCAAGTGTTTTAACCCTTAGCAGTGCAATCGCTCAATATCCACCAAACTCAGAACACTAAGTGGACATATGAACTTACTTTCCCACTGTCCAACTTTGTATTACTGAAACGACTGTCAAGCAACTTCAGAAATAAATTTAGTACATCAGAAAAACATGGGATAGATTCCGTTGACATCGACCAAGGCATCGTACTCAACTGCTAAATGAAACTAGATGCAGGGAAATCAATGGTCCTGACAATCTTTATCCAAGGCTTCTTGAGGAGCTATCAGCCCACATAGACGGCCCCTTGGCGACGATCTTCCAGCTATCTCCCCTAAATGGAGTGTTACCGCGTGATTGGAAAGACGCCATAGTAACCCCCATCCAAAAAGGAGGGTCAAGACAAAGCCCTTCAAATTACAGGCCTATCAGTCTCACCAGCACTTTAATCAAGGCACTGGAAAGAATCATCAAGAAAAGCATCATGGCATATCTGGAAAACAGCAGCTTGTCATCTGGAGCACAGAATGGCTTCCGGAGGAACCTCTCATGCCTGTCAAATCTCCTCACTGCAAGAGAAAGCTGGGTCAAATCAAAGGACAACAGAAGACCCGTTGACATCATCTTCATAGACTTCAGAAAAGCCTTTGATAAAGTACCTCACAAAAGACTAAACATGAAATTGGAAAGTCTTGGTATCAAAGGCAGATTACTAAACTGGCCCAGGGAATTCCTCATAGATAGGAGGCAGAAGGTTAGGATCAACTCGAAACTCTCCTCTTGGACAGCAGTACGTAGCGGAGTCCCACAAGGCACGGTTCTCGGTCCTCTCCTATTTATTCTGTATATCAATGAGTTACCTCTGCTCACCGACTCCCCTATGGTCCTATACGCAGATGACTTAAAAATCTGGAGAGAGCTGGAGGGCAACAGTGATACGTTCACGTTGCAAGACGACCTCAACAAACTGTCACAGTGGTCCGTTGAATAGATGCTCCCGATCAATGTGGCAAACTGTGCAACCATGTGCATTGGACAATCAAGCACAAGCCCCTACGAATTAGAGGGAATAACACTTCCATCAGTTCAGACTCACTTGGACTTGGGTGTCATAGTTAGCCACGACTTCGAAACTACAGCACACTGTCGCGCGGTGGCTGCACGTGGTTTCAGATCGTTATGGGCGATTCGCAGAGCATTCACTAGAATCACCAGAGATATGTCCACCTCCTTATATACATTTCTGGTGAGGGTAAGACTGGAAAACTGCATCCAGGCCGTCAGTCCTTGTCTAAAATGGGATTCTCATATTCTAGAAAGTGTTCAAAGGAAGGCAACACGTATGGTTCACGGTATAGCTAACTTATCATATGACGAAAGACCAAACAGTTGAAATCTCTTCTCACTGTCATACCGTAGGCAGAGAGTAGATTTCATCACAATGTTTAAAATTTTAAATAATGACTACGGACCTAACCTATTCTCTCTTTTCCTTCCCACCAGGTTGGGAACACCTTAGAGGACATAGCAGGAGAGTTCAAAAGCCAAGCGGAAATCATATTGCTGTTGAGTACTGGTTCTCACATCGAGCCATAAACTCTTGAAACCGACTCCCAGAAGAAGTGGTGTCTGCAACCTCAACTGATTCGTTCAAGAAGGGTTTGGACAACCACAGAAATTTACTAGAAGAGGATAAACATAGGTTCCAAGTCTCCTATCCCCAACCAATAAATCTAAATCTAAAATCTAATCTGTATGGCCAAGACTCGTAATCAGTGGCGAACCTGTTGCAATTTCCTTTGAACTTGTTAAGCATGACTGTCTTCCTTCCAGATGAATTTCTTTATCCGTTCTCTACTTATATTTTTTTCTATTCCTTTTCTCTCGTTTGGTCTATGTTGTTTCATTATTATTGTGTGGCGCATCCTTCTTGGTGCCATATTGTAGCAAGCTTTTATGCGTTTAATTAAAAAAATAAATGCAGTCACCACGCGAATATGTTTGATGTCGAATCCGTGCATGCTTCCTCACTCCTGTTTGGCGTTTTGATCACTCTCGCCCTTCAGCTCTCCCCGGATTTATAAGTCATCTGCGTATAGGACCATTAGGGAATCGGTGAGCACAGATAACTCATCGGTACACAAAATAAACAGGATGAGTTCGACTACCTTGTGTCACCTAGCTACGTACTGTTGTCCAAAAGGAGAGTTTTGAGTTGATCTTGACTTCCTGCCTCCGACTTATGAGGAATTCCTTAATCCAGTTTAGCAATGTGCATTTGATACCAAGACTTTCTGCCTTCATGAGTGGTCTTTCGTGAGGAACTTTGTTGAAGGCTTTTCTGGAGCCAAGGAAGATAGTGAAATGATAAAATCAGGTAGTACTACAGATTCGCTGAAGTCAAAACGTTGCACTAGCAACCATCACTGAATGAGTTGTTGCATTTTATCAAGATTAACGGTATAATGCAAAACTATTCAAATCTCGAATTCTCAGAAAACATGTCCACGATGTCCACGACTGATGGGAAATCTCTCACCAGTCTTGAAATGGCGGAGACATTCAGCCTAGCCTTTCACAGGCAACTAAACAGTAACGAGGATATTACCCCCACAGAACATCAAGATTACATTGCCAAACCAACGCGCGAAAACCTGCTGGGTACATGTCAAATTACCCCGGCTATGGTACTTGTAAAATTGGGAAAGTTGGCTTCGGGAAAGTCTTCAGGTTGTGATGACATCAGACCATCCGTCCTGAAGCAGTGTTCAGAAAGTCACTGCCAACACTCACTTGATGTAGGGAAACTTCCATGTGAATTGAAACGAGCAATCCTATCCCCAATCTTCAAGCGTGGTGACCGACAGAATGCCACCGGTTACAGACCAGTTGCTCTACTTCCAGTGATATCGAAGATATTGGAAAGTCTCATTGATGACCACATGAGAAAATACTTCGACGGGACTAGCCTCCTCTACGAAGCACAGCACGGTTTCAGGAGGGGAAGATCCTGCGTGACGAATCTTCTACTAGCTTGGAACGATTGGACACTATCCTGGGACGAAAAGGTGCCAGCCCACGTGATCTTTCTCGACTTTGCGAAAGCATTCGACACAGTTCACCATGGTCTGCTCCTTCACAAAATAAGCAAGGGAGGTGTTTCTGGGGCACTTCTCGCATGGCTGAATGATTACTTAGGCGAGAGAGAATTCTGCACCAAAGTCAACCGCATCCGATCATCCTGGCACACCTAGGCATCAGGGGGTTCCTCAGGGTTCTATCCTAGAGCCGTTGATGTTTTTGATTTTTATCAACGACCTGCCCTCTCAGCTGAACTGCTCTCAGCTTCTTTATGCTGACGACGTAAAGATTTAGAGAGCAATAAGCTCATCGGAAGACTTAGATAGATTGTAGGCTGACCTGCAAACTCTGGGAGACTGGGCTCTGGCTAACGGAATGCCTTTCAACCTAAAGAAGTTCAAAGTAGTGCAACTTCATTCCGACAGGTCACAGAGTGTAAATTGCACCCTTGGTGGCCGGAAATTGAGTTTTGTTCCATCAGAGTGCGATCTAGGTCTTATTCGAACAGAAAAGCTAGACACCAGTGGGAATTTCGCGAGGGACGTCGCCAAAGCCTACTCAACTTTACACTTAATGCATGGGCAGCTGGGAGCTCTTACTCCCGAACTGTTCTTAAGGTTATATAAGACATATGTGAGGCCACACCTTGAGATGCATAATATCATTGCTCCTCCGCTACTCAAAAGGCATATTAACATTCTAGAAAGTGTCCAGAGACGAGCCACAAAATGGGTGGTTGGCCTCCGCAACAAATCATACGAGGAAAGACCAAAGAAATTAGGCCTTTTCACACTTAATTACCGTAGGCACAGGGGAGACCTCATCACCGTCTACCAGACCTTAAATGACCAGGCCCACCCAAATAAAAGCATCGTGCCATTAAGTGATTATAGGCTTCCATGAGGTAACCCGCTAAGGATAGCACACCAGAGACCAAAGACTCGAGTGCGATCATATTTCTTTTCACTTCGAGTTTGCCGTCTCTGGAACGCTTTATCGGCGGCTGTGACTACGGCGCCATCTGTGGAGATTTTTAAGCGGAAGCTAGGCAATCATGCAGAAATGCAAGGTTTGTGTTTCAATGGCTTATCCTCATAAAACTTAAAACCACACCGTCAATGGATAAGCATACAAACTAAATCCCCACGACCTGTTCTGCCTTCTCTAATTGCACCGACTACTCTATCTTTTCCTTAGGTCACCTTTATTATTTCACTTATCTCAACCCATTTTATCTACACAACAACCTATTATTATTATTACTACTATTCTGCTTTTATGACTACACCGAATGACCAATGGGAGTTAGGTCAAACTCCATTCGCGGCAGCAACACAGTCCTAACATACTGCATACTACAAACCACATGTTGACCAATCCCCGAAACACTCCTCTTGGAGTCTACCAGAGCTAAAGCAATCGAGTGGCGGGACTTACTACACAGAAGCTCACCGAAGATCTGGAACCTCTACCTCACAATCAAGAAGCGAGCTCAAACAAATCACTGGTCTATACTAGCTCGTAATCAGGATATTGGACATTGGACTTCTAATGCACATTATTACAGAGGGAATGACTATAGACCTTCTGTTGGAATCGCACTACAAAAAATGGGAAGTCGAGCGGTGAAGATATTAGACATCAAAGATCACTCAGTCCATAACGGACACCTGGATAAAGTGACAATTAATGAAATAATTCAGAAATAAGTCCAGGTGATATTGGTGAAAATAATATCACAGAATCAGCTAGAAGGTCGCAGCTTGCAAGCAAACCGAGACATCAATATAAATACGCAAGGAGATGTTCGACGTGTGGCGGATGTGGTGATTGACAATTTCTATCTCTGTACTGTTTAAATACTTACTATTGCTTGCTAATATATTTCTTATACGAATTGAATAATAATTCCGCCAAATACAAATTCCTGGATTCCGCTCTCTCTGTGTTTTGGTTGGATTCGTGTAATTCGGTCATTGCGAAGTACTATAATAGCAACAGTAAGTCACAATCACCGGACTGGAAAGATAAAAAAGTTAAATATGTATTCAATATTCCCTGACGTGATTATGATCATAATCACGGCTTGTCGACAAGCCTAATCAAAGTGTTCTTTTCAGATTCAGATTTATTGGTTGGGGATAGAAGACTTGGAACCTATGTTTATCCTCTTCTAGTAAATTTCTGTGGTTGTCCAAACCCTTCTTGAACGAATCAGTTGAGGTTGCAGACACCACTTCTTCTGGGAGTCGGTTTCAAGAGTTTATGGCTCGATGTGAGAACCAGTACTCAACAGCAATATGATTTCCGCTTGGCTTTTGAACTCTCCTGCTATGTCCTCTAAGGTGTTCCCACCTGGTGGGAAGGAAAAGAGAGAATAGGTTAGGTCCGTAGTCATTATTTAAAATTTTAAACATTGTGATGAAATCTACTCTCTGCCTACGGTATGACAGTGAGAAGAGATTTCAACTGTTTGGTCTTTCGTCATATGATAAGTTAGCTATACCGTGAACCATACGTGTTGCCTTCCTTTGAACACTTTCTAGAATATGAGAATCCCATTTTAGACAAGGACTGACGGCCTGGATGCAGTTTTCCAGTCTTACCCTCACCAGAAATGTATATAAGGAGGTGGACATATCTCTGGTGATTCTAGTGAATGCTCTGCGAATCGCCCATAACGATCTGAAACCACGTGCAGCCACCGCGCGACAGTGTGCTGTAGTTGTGGCTAACTATGACACCCAAGTCCAAGTGAGTCTGAACTGATGGAAGTGTTATTCCCTCTAATTCGTAGGGGCTTGTGCTTGATTGTCCAATGCACATGGTTGCACATTTTGCCACATTGATCGGGAGCATCTATTCAACGGACCACTGTGACAGTTTGTTGAGGTCGTCTTGCAACGTGAACGTATCACTGTTGCCCTCCAGCTCTCTCCAGATTTTTAAGTCATCTGCGTATAGGACCATAGGGGAGTCGGTGAGCAGAGGTAACTCATTGATATACAGAATAAATAGGAGAGGACCGAGAACCGTGCCTTGTGGGACTCCGCTACGTACTGCTGTCCAAGAGGAGAGTTTCGAGTTGATCCTAACCTTCTGCCTCCTATCTATGAGGAATTCCCTGGGCCAGTTTAGTAATCTGCCTTTGATACCAAGACTTTCCAATTTCATGTTTAGTCTTTTGTGAGGTACTTTATCAAAGGCTTTTCTGAAGTCTATGAAGATGATGTCAACGGGTCTTCTGTTGTCCTTTGATTTGACCCAGCTTTCTCTTGCAGTGAGGAGATTTGACAGGCATGAGAGGTTCCTCCGGAAGCCATTCTGTGCTCCAGATGACAAGCTGCTGTTTTCCAGATATGCCATGATGCTTTTCTTGATGATTCTTTCCAGTGCCTTGATTAAAGTGCTGGTGAGACTGATAGGCCTGTAATTTGAAGGGCTTTGTCTTGACCCTCCTTTTTGGATGGGGGTTACTATGGCGTCTTTCCAATCACGCGGTAACACTCCATTTAGGGGAGATAGCTGGAAGATCGTCGCCAAGGGGCCGTCTATGTGGGCTGATAGCTCCTCAAGAAGCCTTGGATAAAGATTGTCAGGACCATTGATTTCCCTGCATCTAGTTTCATTTAGCAGTTGAGTACGATGCCTTGGTCGATGTCAACGGAATCTATCCCATGTTTTTCTGATGTACTAAATTTATTTCTGAAGTTGCTTGACAGTCGTTTCAGTAATACAAAGTTGGACAGTGGGAAAGTAAGTTCATATGTCCACTTAGTGTTCTGAGTTTGGTGGATATTGAGCGATTGCACTGCTAAGGGTTAAAACACTTGGGGCTCAAGCTTTTTGGTATACGTTGGGAGGATCAAATCAGAATAATGAATATTGTTAGAAATCGTTACTTGCATGTCTCTCTCGTGTACAGCAAATCATCTGTCTTTGCGAATAGGATTTAATACATCTTCAGTATAAACGTTTCTCAAGCACATCGTAGTTTCGGCAGTTCTTAACGTCAACCAAGCAGTTCGTGCCAACCTAAGTTCCTTAAAGCAACAATCAATGACCTAATGGATTCGTACTGTATCAACCTGACCACCTTACAACTGTTTTCCAACATCACTCTTCCTCATCTAACATTGTACAAGGAGATGGTTCAACCGTTGCGTCGGTGGCACAGTGGTTAGGACTCTCGCCGACCATGCACATGATCCGAGGTTCGATCCCCTGCCGACACACACTTGATATCTATGGTCGGCCTGCAAAATTTGGGCTACCATGCTGAAAATTCCATACTTGTACCAAAAGTACAGTGTGGAATCAAGCTGTAATCAAAAATAAATAAATAAAATTGATGGAATGTGAGGATAAGGTCGTAATGTCCACCTCTGACTTCAAGGATAGAAGTGTGCTTCTCAAGAGAAGTTAGAGCAACTAAGATATTTTCTGGCTTTCAACTTTCGTCGTATATTTTGTTGCTTATCTCGGTCTTCACTCAGAAGTTCAAAATAATTTTACCAAGCTCGGTAATACACTTTCCATAGTGAATACCAAAGATCGAGAGATACCGTCATAATTAGGTAGAACTGTATGATCCAAATTCTTGAGATACATTTTGGGTACGTAAACAGTTAATACATGCAAGAGCTAAACGTAGTTTTCACTCACTGGGTTTGTACTCTTGGTGACATGGCTTAAAATCGTTCACAGTGGTGGAGATGTATTAGGTCCTTGCAACGTTTCAGATTATTTTTAACTGTACCCTCACACTTTTTATTTAGCTATAGTATTATTTAGTGTATCACTTCTGACTTTTATGCTGTTCCATAGGGTGAGAACCTGAATTTGTGTATTTATGAATAATATCATACTTTCATCTCTTTTATTTGGATGAATGCATTTAGATAATGTAGATTCCATGCAAATCAGTCCTTTCATTTTTAACCGATTCTACAGATGAGCATACTAAGTCGTATAAAAAGCATTTAGGTAGTGCTTTCGGAATTCTAATTGACGTTAGTCATCATGTTTTATAACTGCAGTTAGCACAGGAAGCAAACTTTTAAGCAAATGCGTGCTGGTGACTGGTGGTTTTAGTATAGTTGTAACCTTTCAGGATATTATTTAGTTTCATATAGCGTTGAATTCTTTTTCAGACTAGAAGTGTCTTTCGAGTTGACTTTGGTGTCAGTTAAAATGCATAGGATGAATGCTTTGTAAAAGTAGTGGTCGTATATTATATAATCGCCGAAAACAGATGTTTTACAAATATTTTGACCGATTACCTTAGTGATCGCAGAATACTTTGTATTGGCTGATGGAGTTTCAGAGTAAATCGCATGTAAAATTCTTTCGTGCTGTAAAAGCATTGATTTGTATGTTTACAGTATGAGTATTCTTCTCGTTCGTCCGCATCCATGTTTTGAAATTCGTGCGAGTATTATTGTTGAACTATGCATACATTTTATACATTTTTCGATGTGGTTATGTTTTCTGAGCTGGGCGGTTAAATTGTGAAGCTCAGAGGACACAACCGCATCAAAGTCATCCACCTGAGCTACAGGTTCTCTATTATTTCAAATACTGTTCGTATGCAGTTTAGTATCTAGACAGTTTCATTTGAGTAGAGTTTCTAAATATTATGTAATTGACTTGTGACTAAAGAATCATAACCGAATATTTCTGACTTTTTTATAGCTTCGTTTTCTGTGATTAAAGCTGGAGTGTCCTGCACGTCGAGCATTCTTTCTTAGCAATCAATATATTCGCTTAAAACTTAGATAAATCTCATGGGATACGGGCGCAGCAAAAGTCTACAATACCGACACCTGTATAATGTTTGTTTGAAATGGTCAGATGCTGAGTTATTTGAGTTGACTAATGCTTTAGAAAGGTTGGTTATTGTTACTACAAGAAATGTAAACCATTATTTCACCAGAGATATTTCATTTTCTTCATTTGAATTGGGACAGCTTGTAAGAACGAAAACATCAACTGATGTAAGAAGTATTATTTTTCAAAGTTCCGCAAGTTATGTTATGTTATTTCCTATGTTATTATATCACTTTCTTTACAGAATGGTTATTGTATTGTGTTTTTTGGAATCCAGTATAAGCTCTAATTTTGAGTATTCTCAATCAGTTGGCAAGATATTTTTATCCTATTTTCCCTGCTTTTTGATACTCATCTACGGTGCTTATCTGAAATGTGGGGTAAATACTCATTTTTGCGATTTTTAAGCCAAGTTGTTCAGCTGTACATTCATCAGTGTTGTAAGTAGCTGGTGAAACAGAAGAATAGTATTCGAGGGATTATTCGTGTACTGCTGTGTGTGTGTGTGTGTGGAAGTTATAGTAGGACGAATCCAAGTTCATTCTTATCCGTTACAACATTAGCTGTCATCCCCAACCACGTGGTTGTCATTTTTGTTGTTTATTATTCTGTGATGTTTACGTTTAGAAAGGTTGAGAATAGAAATTTCATTTATGGTTATCAAAAGAAGTATCGCCTGAAACATCTCTCCATTCATATGATGGAAATAATTCCAACGACATCAAGTATATTTTGCACAGATTATTTAGTCTTGACAGTTACTTTCTTTATGATTTTTCGGCGACGGGCGATGTCAGCTGAAATACGATTAGGTGAGAAAAGAGTTAGTTGCAGTCAAACCAGAGTCTGCTCTCAGTCCATGAAGTCTTTCTTAGTTCGAGTTACCTTGGCAGGTATAGACTGCTTGGCTGGGGACCTTGGAGATAATAAGTACCAATGTCATTCTCAGTGGTGCATTCACTGTTTGTAATTCCCCGTTTACATCAAAGTATCATGTCCTTCCATTTTACTCGTCTTCCTCGCCTATATTTTGAATTCGTTTTTTCTCCGCTACCATTGTGTGATACATGGGGTATGGCAACTCGAGCTGCTGCACTTTAGTGCAAAGTTCTGTGTTGAAACCCAGTCAGTCAATTCTTTATGGTTTTAGATTATCACACTTTTAATGATTTTCAGGTTGATGAATTTGTGGAGGCTCTAATGGATGTAGATGAAAGTGAGTTGGAAGGTATGTTATGAACCAATTTCCCCCAAAATTGAATACTTCCTGCAGGTCGAGGCGTTGTAGTTCCTGAGGGAAAACCTGAAGAACCAATCGATGTATGTTCTTTACATATTTTGCCAATAATATTTCTATGTGCAGATATTGTTAAGGAGTGCCAGATACTGTTGCACCGAACGATACAATAGTTATGCAGCAGTGAGTCAGGTAGGCCTTTTAGTATTCACATTGGTTGCTCTTCATTGAGGGTTGTGGTCAGTGCTATAAACAGAAATACACAGGACAATAAATATTTTAAATCTTGTTCTGGAGATTGAAAAATGCTTTCATTGTCAATACATTATTTTATATACATACTATCATCCTCATAATCGCACTTTATAAACAGCGACACTAGTGGATGATTTCAAGTTTGTGTTATATGATAATTGAAAGTGGTTTCCACATAAATCCAGAATTCTTTTGTTACCGTGTTTAATCATTTTTGTCAGGCTGTACGAAGCTCGAAAACGCATTTGACTGAAGTGTTTGTACAAATGATGAAGTAGGCATGTAATAGTGCTTTTGTTTTACACTTGAGTGATGGTCCATGTAGACGAAATAATTAATGAAGGAATTTCCCGAAGTTCATATAATAATCTTAAATTGTATGACCAATTAAGTTTGCAGTGTCAACGAATTTGCATAGAGAACAATAGCTGATATTAATTTATATTATGAATGAAATAAACTTGGGTAGATGTAGATAAGCTGCACAGCGATTTGGTCACTGAGTCAGCTCTCCCTAAAAGTCCTAAAACTGTTACTTCATCTTTATTATCCTCATTAATGCTTTGTTCTGCACAAACCTTGTGCCATATAAACACCAGAAAGTTTGACTTAAGGATACAAATGAACACAGCAGTTTTTGATGTGGTTTTGTTCTCTGAGCTGGATGGTTAATTTGCGAAGCTTTCATCACCCTACTGGATGACATCTTCAGCGCATACTTCAATTTGAAGTGAGCTTTTAGATTTCTCCACGAGTTTATTAATCATCTCTCCTGACGAGTGACCTTGGACGTGATTAGTTGTTTATGTGTGTTTTCACATCTTCTAGGTTACTTGTATTGGAACTGACTGTTTCTTTGACTTGAACTTTAACCCTTTGTGTGTGAAGTTTCTTTCTTATTGGTTAGTCTATCTCTGTGTGTCTATTGATTGATGATTCACTGGAATGCCAAGCTTCTAAAAATTCTCTAGCATTCTTGTTGTTTCCTCTGTCTAATATTTGAACGTTGTCCCAGTCAAATTGATGTCCGTGGTTGTCTGTGTGTAGTGATATGAGCGAGGGAGTGGATATCATGTCTTTTGATGGCTAACTTATGTTTGTGGATACGAAGACGAAGGGGACGTCCACTTTCCACTTGGCATTCCAGTGAATCATCAATCAATAGACACATAGAGATAGACTAACCAATAAGAAAGAAACTTCACACACAAAGGGTTAAAGTTCAAGTCAAAGAAACAGTCAGTTCCAATACAAGTAACCTAGAAGATGTGAAAACACACATAAACAACTAATCACGTCCAAGGTCACTCGTCAGGAGAGATGATTAATAAACTCGTGGAGAAATCTAAAAGCTCACTTCAAATTGAAGTATGCGCTGAAGATGTCACCCAGTAGGGTGATGAAAGCTTCGCAAATTAACCATCCAGCTCAGAGAACAAAACCACATCAAAATCATCCACCTGAGCTACAAATCTTCTCTATCATATCTGAACACAGCAGTATTTAGTAGCATATTGTTTATTTGCAGAATTATGTACGATGATAGCAAGATATAAAAATCTTAGGTTGAAATTTCATTTCTGAGAAGTTATTCGTATTCTTCTTCTGTTGTTGTCTTCATTTCATAGTTTCTGTATTGTTTCACAGTAGTCTGCATTTTTCCCCTTTACAAGTTAGTCTGTTGCTCTGCTATTTAAGATTGCTGCCACAGACCATGAGTATATTGCTTAGGAATTCTTGTAAGTAATACATGCCGCAATTACGGAGTTAATAAGATCACAAAGAACTAAAGGAGGATTAACCTAATACTATCGATTTTGAGAAGCTCTTATCTGCCCAATAATTTAAGACAAGATTGTGCAACCGAATAGCAAATAGTTTGGTCTTCAAAAGCCCATGATAGCTGGACACATTGATTTGTACTGTGTTTGAAGTAAATTCAGAACCTAACTAGCTATAGTTATCTCGATTTTCATAGCAATCCTCTCAAAGGAAAATATTGTATATGATTATTGTAGGCACAAAGTGTTCGGCATTTTCCATCACAGTATTCGCAAGTCGAATAGTTGAAATTAAATCTGACAGAGTCGTCTATTGTAGACAATCCTTGATATTCATACCGTTTCTTATCTTTGGTACGGTTAATGTAACGATATTACATGGTAGTTTAGTAGAAATGTCGCTTATTAATTTAATTATTTCCAGGTATGATGTCCAACTTTCTGAATCCATTGCACCTCCTTGAGCTTAAGTGTGACTGCATAGTATCACTGATTATTGCAAACATTTGTTACACACTGCCTAACTAGGACATAGAGGTTCGATTAAATTTGTAGTTGGGGGAGAACTTTTAATTGAAATAATAGTTTTTATAACTGAAGATTAAAATTGATGAGATCAAAGGAACGAAGGCTAAGGAGCCGAACATCGAATCAAGCATAGAATGGCAGTCAAGCTTCTCTCTACCTCAAATTCATTGACTTTGAAAAGGCCTTCGAGACGCAATTCGAAAGCTACTGCAACACTACGACATGTAGTGCCGAAATCTTTATCAACCTTATTCAGCAGCTGACTATATGACAATGCCACGCGTTAGCGAGGTGATCCACAACGGGATGCTCATCGAGGCGTTTGAGGTGAACACAGGAGTAAGACAAGCTAACTGTCTATTATCACCCACGGTGATTCTTAATTGTGGTGGACTGGATTATGCGTCAGATTGTGCTTGAGAGTGAGGAGACAGGAGTACGCTGGACCACCGATGAGAAGACTCTAGAAGATCTGGATTTCGCTCCTCGATGATTCACGTCTGATATCACGCAAACTCTAAGACTTGCAGGCGAAAAGCAACAAACTGGCTGAAGAGGCGAGCACGGAAGACAGGACTGCAGGTGAACACAGAGAAGATGTAGGTGATGAAGATAATCAGCCAACCACAGCAACAACAACAACCGTCACCATCAAAGGGAGAGATTTGACAGAGGTTACCTCATTGACTTATCAAGGAAGCGTGGTTTCAACTGCAGGCAGTCGGAACGGATGACTGCGTGAAGGCCAGTCAGACTCGGAAGGGCTAGATACGCCTTCATCAACCTGAAACCAGTTTGGAAATCTTCTGCACTCAGCATAAGGAACAAGATTCGCATTTTCAACATCAATGTGAAGGCGGTCTTTCTATACGGGTTAGAAACTTGCACTGTGTCACGGAAAGGATTTTCAACAGCCAACTGCAGACTTTTATTCCACAGCTGCGTTCCCTGGCTCCATAATGAAGATGAAATGGTCAGCCAGAAAGAATTATTAACAAGAAACTCTGACTGAGAACAAACCAACCGAGAGTCGATCGCTGAGCGAATATGTAGGCGAAAATAGAGGTGGATCTGGCACTTATTGAGGAGGCCGTCGAATGACATCGCACACCAGGCTATCACTCGAGTGGAATCCCAGTGGGAAGCGACAAGTGGATCGTCAGTGCGAGGGTGACATGGATGAGTTCTTGTTAGGAGGACGTTAGAGATTATGGACAGTTGCGGACCCAGCTGGAGAGGACGGCAGAAGATAGGACAAAGTAGATATGTGTTGTTGAAGCCCTATTTTCCTCTTGAATAATAATATTTATATTAAGGAGCCGAACAGGACTAATTCCACCGTAGAAGTTGATGTAACTTCTTTTGAAGACACTAACGACTTGTCCATGTATATGGTGGAGGCTACTGCAGTACAGAGAAGTCGGACACACAACCTTTTTTATATTTTCGTCCACTTTGTGAATAACTCACCATTCAGAGTCATTTTTACATCTTTTAATTACTAAGATAAGTGGACCATTCAAATTTATGTATGGTCTCGTGCACTCTTGAGTAAGTGTCATGTACGAGACTTGCATTTCGGAGTATAAGGTGAAAATACTGTTGGGCTCATGAAGCTAGTTTCTTCCGAATGAAGTAATGAAAGTCGACCTGCTCCTAACTTTCCGGAGCTAGTGAATGAAGGCTTTCTGTCATGTGTTGATGGATGCATCTAACTGAATTTTTTTGACAGAATGTCTTGGTATCATATGCACCATTAGTAATTATTTTATGAATTACTATTGGCTATATATATACATATATATATCCATATAGATATATGCATAATTTTCACTATAAGTACCGGATAATTTGTTTTAGGTTTTACAAAAGCTTTACAGACGGGAAGAATCAGATTACCGTGCAGCGCGTAAGAAATATCCAAACCCCTCATACCTACCTCATGGACAATTGTATCGCTTCATGATGGCACTGGTAGGTGGACAACCTTTACCAAATCTATCTGATTTGTCTTCTGGCGCCATCCTGGACTTTCTAACTTGGTATGTTCCTCAGAGTTTATTATTGGCTCGTTTTAGTTCCACTTTTTATTAAAAGCAGTAGGCAGTTTTATTTCCTTCATAATCTTTATAAGTCATTTACGTTTATCTGTTTTGATACCTTTGCGTAGAGCTATCAGTTATTAAATTTTATTATTTACACTGTGTATTCCATAATGGCGTTTATAAACTAGTGGCTTCGTTATGACTTCCAAGGCTATCCATTTTTCTTTCCATGTGCCAAAAAGTTCTTATGAGCATAAACCTGTTGCCTAAATTGTGTTATAAAGATTTTGGATTGTTTGCAAGTCGATGAGTGGAAACAATGGAAGACTGTCAACTAGGAAGATGAGGCGTTTCAATTCCCAGTGGTCTGTAATTCTTCCACTGTATTGAAAAACTATACGTTCCCTCTTGTCCGTTGATTTTCGCTATGAGGTAAAGTCTCAATACCTGTTCCATGTTCTGATGTATCTTTTTATACATACTGAGGATATTTTCTTCAATTGGTACTTCCCAATTTCACATTAAAAAACCCTTTTGAGATTAGATATCTAATCTCAAATGTAATGTTAGAAATATATATATGTATATATTGACCCGTTTCTCTGATTCTACGCTTTTTCACTTTTCTTTCCATAGTTTGACCTCTATCGTTTCCATAGCCTTCAACGCTGATGATGGAAAAGACGATAATAATTCTGCGAGAGATCCTGTTCCTACCCGAATGAGGGAACAAATTACAAATGTTACAGAAATGGTCAAACAGAAAGTCGGTGTATATATGGCACTTGTCGGTGCTATACACGCCAGTTCATTTCTTAGTACACGAGATGAAATAGCCCTTAAAGGAGATTTTGGTAAACATCCTCTTACTCCACTCCGTCTACTATGTCAAGTCAAGCATCCTGACACAATTTTAGGATATCCTGCAATGGTGGAATACTTAGTTGATAAGTACGCAACTATTTGGGATAGTAAGTAGTTTTGTTTAGCATTAAATTAAAGATACCGAGAAATATATGCTACAGTTAGTTGATTACAGTAAGGCATTTTATTTCTAAATTCATGTTAATACTAACTGGACTGAAAATGAATTCTATGTACGAATTCTTACCAAGCTTATAGTATATTCAGACCAGAGTTCTTTCAGAAACCCATAGAGGAAGTGCGAACAAGTTGTCATTCCAATGAAATATGCTCTAAATTCACCTGAGAATTCAAGATTAGGAAACGTTTTTTGATAGTTGTGTTCAAGTCCGAACTCATGTTTGTTTTTCAAACTCAGCTGTTACACATAATTACATAAGTGCTATTCATTTTTATTGAATTGGAAACTTTAAAGAAAACATCCTGACATTTGATGAAAGCAGTTATAGCCAACGAAATACGATTAAATAGATCACGCATCTATGTGTTTAACTTCCGATAATTTTACTTTAATGATCTTTCATTTTTTATAAGTACAAACTATTTCGTAGAACTGCAGAAACAGTGTAAGTATTTGGCTAGGAGTGGATCTACAAAATGTCAGGAGATTCTTTGACTAGTTCGCAAGGACTTGCAGGTGTAGAGAAAGTATTGAGCGGAAAAATACCTAGTTGATTGGATCCTGGTGGATGTATGCTATCCAAGTGGACGGAACCGTTAGGAGAAACAAAGATTGTGACACCCGTCCATGTTTTCCCATAATCTTTACTTGTACCTCAACAGACTTCAGTTTGGACGAAGTAAAGAATGACTTCTATCACAAGTTGTCTAATTTCTTGCTAAAAGTGAAGCTGTCAGACATAGTCGTAGAAATCGACCCCAATGCTTAAGTAGGCAAGTTGTGCCATTCAGAAAAGTATATTGGTGGTAGTATCTCTGGAGTCCCATGCCGGTAAACCACCAAAGGTGATCGTCTTCTACAGTTCTGTCCAGTTGATCATCTGTTCCTCATTACTACTAACTTCAGTCACAAGGAGAAACATTGCCTTACTTGGCGACCAACATAATGAAATCAACAACGGACCCAAATAGATTCTGTCTGTTTTCGACATAAAACTTTGTACATGTGCGACAGTTCGAGTCGCCACACTCCTCGTAGCACACAAAGCGTTGGTGGCACAGCGTTTAGGACTCTCGCCAACCAGGCACATGGTCTTGCGTTCGAGCTCCCGACGACACACATCCGATATCTATGGTCGGCCTGCAAAATTTGGGCTATCGATACCACATGATGAAAATTCCATACCTGTACCAAAAATACGGTGTGGAATCAAGCTATAATCCAAATATCAATAAAATGAGAGATGCATAATGCAGACAGTAAACAGAGGTGTGAGACAAGGGAATAGTAGTAACAAAGAACAATATAGTTCCATTGGAAGTCATAAGCCACAAGGAGTGGATGCATCTGCGCTATGCATTGATCACGATTTTGAGCCATGTCACCAACTGTTTCCAGCCTGCATTGGTTTTTACCATCCCGAGGACCCCGAGCCGAGAGTCTACACCTTCCTACGTGGCTTAAACTAACTGTGGTGGATTTGATTGACTGGTTCCATGTTTTGGTTTTACCACCGCTAGCTTTTTTCCAGCCTGACCCTTTATAAGCTAATATTGCTATGCATGCGTAACACATATCCTAACCATCTCAGTCGATGTAATTTCACAGCCTCGTCGATTGATTACCTCTGCTTACCTAGAACTGGACGTCTAACCTCAATATTGCTCACCTTATAATGCCACTTCACACGGGAGATAGAACGCAGGCACCTATGATCAAAGACGGCTAATCTTTCCATGTCTTCCGCTTTTTGTGGGTAGGTCTCACAGCCATAAAGGAGGACGAGGCGGACTGATGAGCAGTACACCCCCTTTTGTGGGATAGCCAGCCGGATATCACATCTACGCCAAAGACGGCGTAAACTGGCAAATGCGAAACTAGCCTTCTGCATCCCTGCTGAGATTTCGTCAGAGATGAACCCGTTGGAGCAGGCTGGTTCGACGTCCCAAATAAGTGAAGTGGTCAACGTGCTCTACCACTTCACTCTATTTCTAATCTAGGAGTCGGTGTAGTCCAGTCCTGTAACATCATCTTGCATTTGGCGGGAGGGAATTGCATGCCAAACATTCGTAGATTGCAGCTCAAGGTGTTTAGAAGACTGCATTTTTTCAGCGTCCTCGCCTAGTAGGACTATATCGTCTTCATATTCTAAGTCAACGATATTATTCCCTGGTAATAAGTCAATCCCTGAGTCTCTGAAGTGAGTCAGGGTTAAGTCCATCAGTACATCTATGATGAAGTTGAATAGAAATGGGGATAATGGGCATCCTTGACGGATACCACTAGTCGTCACCACCACTAGTCACTACTCGCCGATGCCTTTTCGTAATCTCCGCCTACGCCCCCACTGACTGCAGTTCAGATGAAACGAAGCATGAGTTCTATCAAAAGCTGTCTAGTTTGCTGCTCAGATATAGTCGTTCCAGCTGGTGACTTTAATGCCCAAGTAGGGAAATTGTGTCATTCTGAGGAGGATGTCGGTGGCACCTATGGAGTTCCTTGCCAGTATTAGGTAAGAAAAGAAAGTTAATCAGTCAAGTTGTGAATATGAATTGATTGACCTGGGTAGGACACGTGTTGAGCGTTCCGAGCCATCGCCTCCGTCAACAGTCAATGTTAGAATTAAGTGGAAAAAGAGTTTGGGATGGTCAAACCGAAACCTGGTATTAGTCCATGAAAGCCTTGACAGTTAATTTAAGCCAGTTAAGCAGGTGTAAACTTTCTTTTTGGTGTCTTCGAGATGTTGAGAAGAGTGGTTGGAGATTGTTGGTGATATGGTTCGAAATCATTGTCTCTGGTAAAGATACATTGACTCTGTGGGATCTCCCAGATCCATTAAGTCCTCACTTTTTCTGTTACGATTCTTTCAACTTCACATTTCTGCTTTTTGAAGTTATTATGGGTCTCTTTTTTCTCCTTTTATTGCTTTTATGGAGTGTGTGTACTTGAAGTGCTGCACTTCTATGCAAAATTCTATTTCGAAATTCGGTCTGTCAGTCAGTGAGGTTACTTTTAGAATGTTGGGTACGGAAGGAAAGTCGATCAGTGAGTTTTCTCTAGCTCCATTGATTGTGATGCCTAGAACATTTATTATGCGTATTGAATTTCAGTTAGTAGTAGAATGTTTTGTGAGGATATAAGACTTGATTGTGTGATACAGCAGAGTTTTTTTTAAGCAAAGCAATTCTCGCCTTTGCCAACCACATGCTTATTGTAACAATAACTGCTTAATTTTTCTATCATTCCTTTCATACTAGCATACGCGATACATCCGTAATTTCGTTATTGTCAGATTAAATTTGGATAATGATCATTTCAAATAATAAATCCAACTAGTAGAAACTTGAAGTCAAATTTGAATATTTTACATTAGGTCTATCTAAGATTACTTATTCTGTAATAAACTTACTTATTAACACTAATATGCGTATTTGAAATATTTTTGATCATTCTACAGTACCGCATATTCCAGGCGCATGTTTCTCCGATGAGACGAATTCCGAACCCGTGTCCCTTGGTTTATTACTCTCTGTACTGAAACGTGTTTTAGCGTTTTCACTCAACCCGTTTACTTTCACACAAGGGATGATGGCTCAGTTTCAAACCATTTTGAGTGATTTTCATTCGCTGTGTTCCAGCAGATCACAACTTTCGAATTTTTTTCGAACATGGGCTACAATCAATATAAAACAAGTACGTTACTTCTCAACATACCCATTGCCTGTGGAAGTTATTCCTCGTAAACGTTCAAGGGAAAGCTCTGTTGAGGGTGATCAGGCAAAGAGGTGCTGTACTGAAAATCCTTCAATTACGAATGAGTTGGAAACAGAAGAGCGCTATACAACGGAGAGGTAAGTCATTTAGAAGAAAACAGGCTGTGTAGAAACTATGCATTAAAATTGGTGTTAGATGATCGATTTAATTATATCAAGAGTTACTTGACCTTCTTTTTTGCTCAATAACGCCGTACCCCTTTGTGCAGAAATATTTAAGAATGGTTATTCTTAGCTCTAGCATATTGTTTATTTAATTTATTTTGCTTCACAAAGTTTGTTATTTTATTTTTGAAAAAACCAATTTTGTAAGTGCCTTCCAGAGGTTGGTATTCTTCATTTTTCAAGATTTATTGCAATCTTATTATCATCAGTTGTCTGTCTGACAATCGTTCTCATCAGTCGCCTACGTGAGATACCCTCTTTTCACTCGAAACATTAGAATATGAAATACTGCACACGAAAACAACAATATTCAACAGCAGCCGTGTGCATCACTCATTAGTTTATACTGTTTTCTGAAAGAGAATGAAAAAGGAAGTTGCAATAGGTTCACGCCTAACTTTGATCCCGAGTCATATTTGATAATGTCTGTAGACAACGTGTCTACAGATCCCTCAAACTCTATCCAAGGAGATGTGATGCACCAGGAGATGCGGACCCAACTGAACTACTCTCTTCATCTCACTGTGCTATGGTATGGGCCAACTACTTCTCTTCTTTTTTTCCACATGGTTCTGGAACCGGCAAATAATGAACAATATAGGAGCCGCTGGTACGATCTTCGAGGAACACATCCAAGTAGTCGTAGCCCGGTATCGAGAAATGACATCTCTATCACTTCCAGATACATTGTGCCGGACCCCAAAATTACTTTGGTATTGTCGGCAAAGGACGGAGGCAGTGATAACCAGACACATCTTGAGCACGGAGAGGTCAGTTTTCTCAGGAGTAGGACAAGGTTGTGTCATGCAAAGCAGACCTTCGACGGAAACACCAATGTCGCGATATGGACAGAGGTGGCTTAGTTTTACTAATACAGCTTTGGTTTTCGCTGTATGACTGGGAATTTCACTCGTCACGCCTTCACCAACACTTACGCAACTGCCTAGATACTTGAATTTCTCAACTACCTCTAGTGGTTACCGTCTAAGAGTAAGTTTGTATACAGAATATTAGCTACATTTGCAAGACGTTATGCAAATGGCGAGTTAATCCTTCAGTGTTTACATAAGGATCGCAAAGTCTGGTGGTGAGAACATGCGTATAAGATATAATCAGCAGCTGTATCTGGCAATAGACGGAAGCTGTCCAGCTAGTCCAAACCGCTGGCAGCAGCATTGAGGACGATATGTGAGACAGATAGTTCACTGATTGCCAAACTGAAAAGATCCATAGAGCGATGTGCAGAGCACTTTGAGAAGCAGTTTACCTGATCAACAGCTCCGCCATCCAACATCATCAACAGAGCTCTGTGTTCTGTCTGTCTGTTTTTAACATAAAACTCTGCACCGATGTACAGCAGTTCAAGTTGCCACACTCCACATAGCACACATCGCAAGAGAAGAAAGTAGAAGAAAAGCATAATAGAGACAGTAAACAGAGGTGTGAGACAAGGGAATAGTAGTAACAAAGAACAATATAGTTCCATTGGAAGTCATAAGCCACAAGGAGTGGATGCATCTGCGCTATGCATTGATCACGATTTTGAGCCATGTCACCAACTGTTTCCAGCCTGCATTGGTTTTTACCATCCCGAGGACCCCGAGCCGAGAGTCTACACCTTCCTACGTGGCTTAAACTAACTGTGGTGGATTTGATTGACTGGTTCCATGTTTTGGTTTTACCACCGCTAGCTTTTTTCCAGCCTGACCCTTTATAAGCTAATATTGCTATGCATGCGTAACACATATCCTAACCATCTCAGTCGATGTAATTCCACAGCCTCGTCGATTGATTACCTCTGCTTACCTAGAACTGGACGTCTAACCTCAATATTGCTCACCTTATAATGCCACTTCACACGGGAGATAGAACGCAGGCACCTATGATCAAAGACGGCTAATCTTTCCATGTCTTCCGCTTTTTGTGGGTAGGTCTCACAGCCATAAAGGAGGACGAGGCGGACTGATGAGCAGTACACCCCCTTTTGTGGGATAGCCAGCCGGATATCACATCTACGCCAAAGACAGCGTAAACTGGCATATGCGAAACTAGCCTTCTGCATCCCTGCTGAGATTTCGTCAGAGATGAACCCGTTGGAGCAGGCTGATTCGACGTCCCAAATAAGTGAAGTGGTCAACGTGCTTTACCAATTTACTCTGTTTTTAAGCTAGTAATCAATGTAGTCTAGTGTTGTAGCATCATCTTGCATTTGGCGGGAGGGAATCGCATGCCAAACATTCGTAGATTGCAGCTCAAGGTCAACGATATAATTCCCTAGTAGTAGGTCAATCCCCGAGTCTCTGAAGTGAGTCAGGGTTAAGTCCATCAGTACATCTGTGGTGAAGTTGAATAGAAATGGGGATAATGGGCATCCCCGACGGACGGCATTAGTTGTCACAATTTCAGATGACAGCTCTCCGTAAGCCTTCACCTGACTGCTTGAGTTCGAATAGAGTGAGTGCCTTGATCAGTGGAATATATATTATTTAGGCACTTCCTAAAATGGTCACCTAGTTTGATGGCGGCATTGTAAAAATTACTGATGGATTTAAGTCAGTATCAGCTGTTAGAGATAAGATTGCAGAAAAATAAGTTTATCTCTGCTGTAATATTTTAATGTTATGATAAGGTGTCTTTAATTCAGTGATTGCTTGTAGGTGTTCCTCAGGGTGCTGTTCTCTCGCCGTTTCTCTTTTCTTTCTTCTTACATGACTTAACTCTCTCAGACGAAATCAACTTCGTCAAATATGCAGATGACCTGACTGTTTCGCTTCCCGTTAAGTCTCAGTCAGACTGCTTCAAATTAAATAGCTTCCTGTCTGACATCAGTCAGTGGTCAAAACTAAATGGCCTCTTGCTGAATCCCTCAAAATGTCTGACTATTGACTTCTCCTATAGGCATAAACGAGATCTACAAACACTAGTAAGCACTCATGAAGCCTGTAGCATTGAGGGGACTAAAATTGAAACTAAGTTTAATGCAAAATACCTCGGATTAGTTCTATCTTCCAACCTTACTTGTTCATCTCATGTCCAAATGATTTCCAAGAAAGTGTTTCATCTAATCTACTACATTAAAAAGTCAGACTAACTGGAGTCACTCAACCTCTGCTTTCACAATTTGTCAACTCTCGTACCTTACCTATTCTACTTCACTGCTCCCCATTAGTCTTTCCTGGGTTACTGAAAAAGGACTATACCATCCTGAGAAGGATGTTGAAGGTAGTTAGTAGGACTAGCGGTGTAAAACTCAGTCAGCTCGTCACAACATTAGCGGATAAGCATCTGAATGCATGTAAAAAATGGTCTAAAATCATACTCTCTGACCCCCAACACCCCATCTATTCCCAACTCTCTCCTTGCCATCTCATCAGGTAGAACCAGAAATCAGTACAAAATAATATATGCTCGTACAACCAAGTATGGGAACTCAACGATACAATATTTGGCCCGTGTTCTAAGTGACAGAGACAATGTTAAGCGTGAAACCTATGACTTGGTTTGTTGTTAATAACATAATTTTGGCCCTTGTTATTTCTCCATTATACTCTCTTATTCATACTCTATAGTGAACAACCTTCTTAAACATACTTAGCTGCTTAAAATTATTATCATTGGCTTACTTTTTATTCTTTACTCTATTCCTTCTTTTGTATATCTATTGGATCCGACTATATTATCACTATGAGTATTACAAAATTGTCCTGTCATTAACCATCATGTAATATTAGTTTTGTAGTTGTTCTTTGTTCGGCACTATTTAACTGACAATCTTGTTTATGAAACGCCACTATCACCATCTCAAAAATTTTATATTAGGCATGATTACTCACACTACCACGACAAACACTGCATTAGTGCTGACAATAAAAAAAACAACCTGAAATGTTTATTTTATGATTGTTTAGTTTAGTTCAATCAATCTTGGCTATAAACATTCTTAAGAACATCTCATAATTTCTTGTATGATTATAGCTGTTATTGCTCGCCACGCATACACATATCATAGCTTCCACTAACCAATACTGAAATATTTTTCATTATTGGTGTTTATCTTCCTTTCTACTTGGTATTTTTATTTGCATTTTTTGTTATTTCTGTGTTTTTTCTTATCTTGGTTTTTTTTGTGATTTATTATATTTATTTTTTTGTAATACTCCTTTTAAATGTTTGATGAAATTAGATGCAATATTGTAGATATGTGCTGAAAATTCCACACTGTAGCACAAGTAGTATTTCTGGAATAAAAGCGAAACTGTTATGTTACGTTATGTACTTTTTGGAATTGTTCGATATCTGTCGTACAATAATCATAACATTTAGTTTGATGCTTGAGCTTTGCTGACAAGTCATTCTTTACAGTAGTGCGAAATAGCGAAGGAGTTCCAAATGATATAATGATGCTTTGTTGTAATTTTTTTTACTAGGGCTACGAGTGATCAGGAATCTACAGCTCCTGTTACTAATGTAAAAATGGAAGATCCCAAAAATGTTGCACTAACGGTATGTTTTTTCACTGCACCTACGAAGTTTTTTAACATATTTTCCAACCCAGAAAACATTTAATGCCTTTCTTATGCTTTGTCCTATGACTATCTGTCACACCACCAGAGATATTTGGAATTCTTTATGTACGAAGCGTGATCCGTTGGATTGAGCATACAACGTTCTGACGCAGCTCACATTTTGATTACTTCAACCTGAACAACCGGTCATTGTCATAACTGGCACGCACGTTTTAGAGTAAAATAGCCTGTGCTGGCAAGTTACACAAAAATACAATTCACTATGCATAAGCTTCCTATAGTCTAGATATGATTACGAGTCCCGTAGGCCTATTCAGCGTATATCATCAAGTTTTCTAGGTAGACTAATTGAGTCTGTCTAGTAGCACTGATGGTTAGGGTTACTAACGTTCCTAGTCCTCTCTTACTCAAAAAGCCAAATTACTGTTTTGGTGCGAACAGTCTCATTCAGGAATATAAATATTTGTAGCCTGCCGGACGCATGCAAAATATTACATGTGAAAATATACTACACTCCCAGGAACTCAACAGGAATGACGCTTTTGTAGGCAAGTAACGTCTTAATGCCAATAGGTCTGATGTTTTGTTCGCCCAAAAACTAACACATCCCCTATGGTAGTTCACTTTTAGCTTTAGAATTATTGTTTACTTATAAGAAGGTAAGAGAATTAACTATGGACTTCTCGATGTACGTACAGTGCTAAATATTTCAAGAGTTGTATTCAACAAAATGCATGGATGAAGGTTAAACTATTTTTAAAAAAGTAAGCGGCACTGCTTCAGCTTATTTATGCAAATAGTATTGCTGCTTTATCAAGTGTTTCAGTGTGTAAATGTAAATTGGTATCAGGCGGTGGCATGGCGGTCGAACAGAAAACGCAACTGAAACGGTGGCATGTATTTTCCTGTCAAACGGAACAAGTAAATCTGAGTAATCAACTTCATGATACGGAAGGGTTATACAATAGACCGATCAGTAGCAAGATGTTACCATGCTGGGAAATTGTTGCTTTTTTATCACAGCACTATTATGGTGCATACAAATTTTTAATCACGGAAATAGCTTCCGTAGTGTAGTTTCTTGTATATAAATACATTACATGTGAACAGTCATTTTCCTCTTATTATTGTTATTATTAGTTATTATGCTGGTTTGAACATTTTACTTTTTATTGCTTTCATGTTAGTCGAATCGGTACGTGAAATGGTGTCCTGGAACGCACTTCGTTCGTATAAAGGAGAAAGGAGAGGTTGAAAATGTCAATGCAATTGTAAATGCTGTAAGCAGTGATATTTTATGTGAGAGCTGTTGAATTCATATTACTTTGCATGACTGTAGATTGGGTCTCGTAACTAACTGTTTGACTGAAGTTGAAAGTTAAGACTGCACTGAGGAATAAGGTTTTTCAATATAATTACACTATTCATTTGTAGTGACTTATGTCAATGAGCCAAATCTCCACAGTTTTCCTCGTAACCAATACACCTGGAAATACAAGGGTTTTCCTTGACAACCTAAATTTTAATCATCTACTACGATTATGGTGCTTTTGTATGTGTAGTGCAAAGCCCCTCTTCGTGGGAATGTAGAGTCAGTTTACTGAAGATATACCAATGCCTTGTTAACGTTTAAAAGAGTGTTCTGTCATTGCGTGCACTAAAAGACATATACATACTAGTGACGATAGTCTTGACAAGCGGTATTTATTCAAACAGAACTGGTCTCATTTCTTAGACCCCCAATCTCATTATGATAAGTATGAATCTTCCTTTCTGAATCAATCGTTGATTTTGTTCACGGCTTATTCTTTTTCTTTCAGCATTTTAAAATGAAAACTAAGGAGACAGATTTTTCAATGGAATTACACAAGAACGCGACCAAGTAATAATAGTGTGAAAACAATTTACAGAAGTTTGAGTTTCAAATACAGAATTTTTGTGTTAACTGTACGTGCGTTCTTATCATCTGTGCAAATAATGTGTGTGGATTTCTTTCAGTGGTGTAAAGAATTTCTCAGCGGTTAAGTTGGACTATGAGAAAAAGTTACTGATGTGACCAATTCTCAGTTGCACATAAACATTTTATTTGAAAACTCTGTTATCATCTGAGTCAGTGGAAAGAAGTACTGAAGAGTATTAATTACAGATATCTTTCTGTATAGCATACGTACATGTCAATCACTTTTAATTGACGATGCTGGGACCAAAGACTGACTTGGTGATGGTGGACGAAAATTCACTAGTTGTTGTCTCCCAACTAAATATCTGAAATTAATAAGAAACAAAACTTTACTGATTTATTCTCTTAAGTTGAAATCTTTGGTAAACAATATAGGGGAAAAAACCTCTTAACGTTGAAAATTCAAACAGACTTTCGCAAAAGTGAAAGGGCGAATGCGCCAACGTCTGGGGCTTACAATCTGGCTGGTGGTGGAAGTGCTGGTCTACCTAGGCGAGCTGAGATACCCTGATTCCAAACGTATGGTGTACATAGGCATCAGAATCCGGAAACCATGGGAACAAACTTTTGACTGTTCCACTGTCTTGTGAATCAGACTTCAAGTAAAAGGTTGTGGAAGTGGCCCATTAAGACAACCAGCATCTTGGAAGTATTCTAGACCTCGCAGAAACGTTGTGTGGCGCATTTCTTGTTGCTCACAGTGTTCTAACAGTAAATATAAAGACTATTGTACCATTCAGTTGAGAAATCCAATTCGTTACACATATTTAAAAATGTGAAGATTAAACAATCATTGAAAAATCATGAAGGACTTACTTTTCATCTTTAATATGTATGTAGAGACGTCGTATCTGGTCGATGCACAAAGCATATAAGAAAATAAGCACAGCCAAGACAAAAAGAGATGGGTACACATAGCGCGTAAGGCGACTTTTCTATCTAATGCTATGAAAAGAAATAGACGCAGTTTATTACTCATTGTGCAGTGTACTTATACATGACATAGCTTCTTTTAAATTATGAAAAGTGAATGATCGGCTTTGTCTCTGATGTCCCACTGCTAGAATGCACCGCATTACTTACCTAAGGCGAAGGGTACTTTTTATGATGTATATATATGTATAAGAATGTCGAGTCTTGTTATATATTCTCATACTGCTCTGGCACTTGCAGTTGGAAATCGTGTGTAACAATAGATTTAAGGTGTGTTCACTGAGTTTATTTCGGCGAAAAATGCGTTAAAATTCACTGTGGCATGTTTTCTCCCACATAACTATGGTTACTGGTTAATTTTGTAATACTTTAACATTTATCCGACCTTGTGCGGTGAAATTTCTTTTTAAATATTAAGTTTCACCAAGTAGGCATAAATTCCGTCTGTCTGTCTGGATTCAACATAGAACTTGGCACCGAAGTGCACCAGTTCGAGTTGCCACGTTCCAAATACCACACAAAGGTAGACAAGAAGATGAGTGAAGAGAACCAATAGAGTTTGACAAGTATAAGAGTGAAACAGAATGGGTAATGGTAGAAAGGAATATGAAAGATTACAGAGACTGAATACATCTGCGCTGGCCATTGACAACGATTTTGAGCCATGTCACCTATTGTCTCCAGCCATTGATTCCTAGAGTCCCGAGGGCCCCAACCCGGGAGTCTGAATCTCCCTACCTGACCGACTCAGTTAAACTGTCAAGGATTTCATGGATTGATTAGGCCATGTTTTTGTTTGGCCACCACTTACTCTTTTCCAACCTGAACCTATATCAGCTAGTAATGCCCGTCGGGGAGGCGATGGTTAGCCATGCGCACCACCTGACCTAGCCATCTCAATCTATGTAACTTTATAGCCTCGTCGATTGATTTTCCCTGTTTGCCCAACACTCTACGCCTAACATCAACATTACTTACCCTATTAAACCACCTAACGTGAGACAGAGATCGCAGACATCTATGATCGAAAGCAGTCAATCTTTTCATGTCTTCAACTCGTATTGGCCATGTTTCAGAGCCATAGAGAAGGACGGAGCGAACTGGTGAGCAGTACACACGTCCCTTGGTTGATAACCGGATGTCACGCCTACGCCAGAGATGGTGTAAGTCAGCGAAAGCAGCTCGAGCTTTTTGGATCCGTGCTGAGATTTCGTCGCCAATCAGTCCGTTGGTGCTAATACAACTTCCCAAATAGGTGAAGTGGTCAACATGTTCTATCACTTCACTCCCTATCACTAAGCTAGGAGTTGACGTGGTCCAGTCCTGTAGCAGCATCTTACATTTTGCAGGGGCTAATCGCATGCCAAACATACGAAGATTGCTGCTCAAGGTGTTCAGAAGACTCTGCTGGATTTTGTCAGCATCCTCCCCTAAGAGGACTATGTCATCTGCATATTCTAAGTCCATAAGGTTATTCCCTGGTAACAAGTCGATTCCTAAGTCGTTACGTTCAGTTAAGGATACTTCCATCAGCATATCTATGATGAAGTTAAACAGAAATGGGGAAAGTGGAAATCCCTGTCGGACACCACTGGTTGTTACCAATTCAGATGAGAATTCCCCATAAGCCCTTACACGACTACGTGAGTTTGAATAGAGTGCCTTGATTAGTGCAATGTACTTTCTTGGCACTCCCTTCACAGTCAGACATTGCCATAGTACCTTTCGATCCACGGAGTCGAAGGCCGCCTTCAAGTCAAGAAATATGGCAATTGTTGGATGCCGAAAAGTGTGTCTATGTTCTAGAATCTGTCGAAGAGTGAAGATATGATCTATACATCCTGTACCTGGTCTGCAGCCTGCTTGATTTTCCCTTGTCTGTTCCTCCCGAGTTCTGCCTAGTCTGTGCATGATTACTGAGCCTAGGATTTTAGAGACTATGTTCGTGTGTTCCCTATCGCCGATGCTTTTTCCATCTCTTTCGCCTTTGTCACCCACCACTTTTCACGGTCCTTGCGGAGACTTTTCGTAAGTTTCCTTTTGTGCAGCTTTCGCTCCTCATTGAATTCGGAGCTCGCCGGAATAAGTCTTCTAGCATCTATCAGTTCGGATGAGGCAGTCGAAATCCAGTGGTTTTTACTCACCTTTGGATTTACCTTATTCACAGCTTTTACAGCTGTATCTATGGCTGCCTGGATATTCTTCCAAGCTTCTTCAGGGTGAGCACAGCTGTCGAACTCAGATATGCGTTTAGCTAGTTCTTCCTCAAATAGGGATTTAGTTTCCTGATCGAGCTGGGGACGTGATGGTTTTACCGCCAGCTGTTTCCTACGTCCGTTCAGTCGTAAGCACACACGAGCCCGGACCAGTGCGTGATCGGTATCTACACACGTGTTCCAGAAGGAGCGACAATCTCCTACCGACCCACGCCAACGATAGCTTATTGCTATGTGGTCTATTTGTGTCCAGCGTTGGTTTGATGAAGGGGGTCTCCAAGTCAAACAGTGTCTCTCCTTGTGTTTAAAGTTAGTGCTTACAAGAAACAAATGATTATCAGAGCAGAACTGTAGGAGACGGTCACCGTTGTCGGTTCGCTGGCACGGAACTCCATAGGTGCCACCGACATCCTTCTCAGATTGACACAATTTCCCTACTTGAGCGTTAAAGTCACCAGCTAGAACGACTATGTCTGAGCGTTTAGCCTTTCTCACCAAACTAGACAGCTTTTGGTAGAACTCATCCTTCGTTTCATCTGAACTGCAGTCAGTGGGGGCGTAGGCGGAGATTACGAAAAGGCATCGGCGAGTAGTGCAGTCCTTCCTCCTTCTTACTGATCCGTTCAGACGGACAGCACACATTCGGCTATCTACCGGGATCCAGTCAAGCAATGTCTTTTCTGCCCTAGTACTCAAAGCTATCCCTACGCCAGCTAATCCTCGTGAACTAGCTGTGGCATCTCCTGACACCCTCAAGGTGAATTTTGAAGATTCAACCTGTTGGCCAGGTGGGGTTAGGTGAATAACCACACTTGGGTCTTGTATGCGTGTTTCTGAAACACAGCATACATCAATGGCTCGTGATGCCAGGGTCTTGGCTAGTGATGCTTGTTGTCCTATTTGGCAAAGTGTCCTAACATTAAGAGCTCCTATATGAAATTGGTGGCGCGGCTTTAAGAGGCTGTCGGTGGTGGTTTTTTGGCTTCCATCGTTTTTAGTGGACGCAGAGTGGAGAGGAAGTGGAGAGCTATCAAGTCGAGGAGTTGCATCAGTGGAAGGAAGGCAAGATGAAGATGAAGACAAAGATGAGTGAGTAATAGAGAGGTTTCGCGTGCGTTTCGGATTGTGAGGGCGATTGTTACTTCCCGGCTGCCCACACCGTGGAAGTTGGTTGCGTGACCGCAGAGCCCAGGGGACAACTGCTTGAGGCCGGTCACACGCGGCCTGTTTTTGTTCGTTCTTTTTTGTTTGGTGTGTCTCAGTAGCATACTTATCACTCCTGCCCTGTGACACGGCAGCAGGAAGCGCGGTCGTTGTTAATCCGGGCCACGGCCGATCCGGCATGAAATTTTGTGATTTTGTATTTATCATGATGTTGGATTGGGTAGCTGCTTTTTGTTTAACCGCTATCCAAACAACCTGCCTGGCATGGTAGAACCTCAAGAGACATAAGTCTCAGCCAGTATAGCTTGGATAGATCATTTCGGTGTTCTAGCCCGACCACCACGTCAAGGTAGCAGCTTTCGGTCGGGCATAAATTCCGTATTACTTTCATGGGTTAAAGGATAAGAAAGTATTTTCATTTGAACTGAAAGTCTTTCTTTAAATCATCCACATTTCGTGGGGTCTACTCTGTGAGTATTAAAAACCAAGAGTGGGTTATTTCTTTGCACATTCAGAGAGATCAATGTGATGAACTGCCAAAACGCCGAATTACACTATATTTATTTAAGAGTATTAACAAAGCTGTTGCATTTAAAATGTGTGAGGTGTTTGATTGCTGGAATTGAATTAAAACAAAATTTTCACTTGGTTCTAAACTGAAATGTTTAGGAGAATAATTTGTACACATACTACAAGGGAGATTTCATCAACAACTTATATTAGTTAGACAACAATTAAAAACGTCGGGGAACTAGACAGATGAGGTAAGAGTCTAGAGCTTATTGGCTACTGGTGGATACTGACTTATGGGCACGTGCTAGTGAATTTCAT